GCTCATTTTCATGGCCAAGACAGGATGAACTTGGTCTCCTGTTTTCTAGCCTAGTGCCTTAACCACTAAACCAAATTAGCAAACCAAATAAATTGGTTTCTGCACATAGCCATCTGTCCCTTCCCAATACAAAAGCAGCTCCCTTCCCCAAGTACATGATGTTATTGGATTGTTGGGATCCTGCTTCTGCTCTGCAATTAGTTTATCTTGTGCAGAAATCTTTTCTTAAAAATTGCTTTGGCCTCAACAGTTCCCTTGGTGAACTTCAGCTGGGTGGCCTCAGTCAGTATCCAGCCATGGAAGGGCTGATACTCAGAAGCAGAAATCATTGCTTCTCAAGCCAGACAAAATTATTATGTAAATAGTTTAAAAATAATAACCAAGGATCTGCTGACATATGTGCATATATGGCTAGCTTCCTGCATTTTGCAGTAGGTACCATACATCTGTATCGATATGATTTTTTTCATTTCTGTAATAAAACAACTCTGAAGTTTCTTCTGTTATTGAATATGAGGGGTTAAGACACTAGACAACTTATATGTATCATGTATCTGGTAAATATGATTGGTCATGTAGCTTGGTGATTAGCCCACATGCCTGGAATGATTGGCCTCTGTGAATCACTTTGCTGTCATCATCCAAATGGCACATAGGAATAATCTGAATGAATAAAATCTAGTGGAGAGTCAAGATGCAAGCACACTACTGATTTTTTTTCTATCCACCTGTTCATCAGTTATAAGAATGTGATGGGGAAATGAATGGCAACTAAATTTATTTTGATGGAATCGGAGGCACAAAATCCCTTTAAATATACAAGAGCCTGATCTGCTGTAACAAAACATCTGTGGTTGTTCACATCCAACAGTTGGATGTGTTTTATATGTGTATTCAGCATTATCAGTGGGTTATTTATTCCTAATGGCTATTAAATCTCATTATTTCACACAGCAATTTCAATTCTCTAGAGGGACATAACAACCCCAAATTAAAAAGTTTCAGTAAAAGAAACTATGCTGATTGCCTTATTTGATGATTTCTGGGCTTTTTTTCCTATGTGTGAAAACAGATTTTTCTTGTTTCTCTAGAATATAAGAGCAAGATCAGACACTGTATATTAACTCTTTCTTTATTGGTTATTAGTCCATTTCAGAATTCAATTAAAAGTGTTGATATTTTTTTAAAAATTGAAAACTATATAGTTAAGATTGTGTATCCTAAATGAACGGTATTTTCCACATATTCCTAATATTCACCATCCTGTGATAATTACTGAAGCCCTTGTATGCAAATCCAGATTACTAGAGAGCTATTGAAAATGGAAGTTTTTCAATGAAATACTGTCTTCAAAGGTTGAATCCATGCGTCTGTTTTTAGTTCCAGGCAAATAATTTCTCCAGATTTGTGTAATATACAGCAATCTTAGATTTGTTTAAGATATTATTTGTGTTTTATTTTACTAAAATTATTTTGCCTTTTTCAATGACTTTATAATGCATACTACAATTATAAAATGTGTTGTTTATTTCAGTATTTTTTATTTCTCATGCTTACGAAAATGCTGATTTGAGAACGTAGAATAGCTCAAGAAATTTCAGTTCCTACATAGTATAAAAATACAGTTCATTTAATGTAAATAATATTAACAGACCTACATAAAATTCTCCCTACAAATCATAAGAGATAAAAAAATATAAATATATTTCTCAAATATAGTTTATAAATCAGTTTTTCAAACTTTGTCAGGCTGTGAAATGAAATCTGCTTGTTAAAAAAAATTCCTGGACTCCCTGATTAAACCTGGTGGGGCTTCTGAATTCAGTTTACAACCCTGTTCTTTCTTCTCTTTCTTAGTGACTAAAAAGGTAAGAAATATCTGCAAGGGACAAAGGCTTCCCACTGTTCAGATGTGGGGGGGAAAGAATGAAGAACTAATAAGCATCTTTGGGAAAGGAGCTGCAGCCAAACCTATATTCATAAATCCATCTTGGGCTGGACTAGACTACAGCCTGTTGTAACACTAACCTCACCAAGGTGCAGACAAAACCTTTTGTAGGGAGGGAAAGCCCATACCTGCTGTATTTCAATGTTCCATCCTCGCATTCTAAGGTTATTTTAAAGGACTAATCACCTTTTATTTTCTCATAGATTTGTCAAGTCACTCTTACTGCCCATGGGATTGTGGAGTAAGTGAAGAAGAAAGTATTCTACAGGGGCAGGCTAGAACCCTGAAGCTTTGCTGGATAGATTAAATTGTTTCTATAGTTGAAGCCTGGAATAGAATAAGTCAGAAACATTATTTTAGGCCACTAAATCTAGTATTCTGCTCCTGGCAAGAATCTAAATTGAAGTGCTGAGTGCAGCTGGAGTTGGGCATCTAATAAATAAAATAAATCTCACAAAGACCAAATGGTCTTGTTACTTGATGTGTACTATCTATTTTATTTCTTCTCAATCTTTTTAGGATTAAATATTCCAGATTGCATTTGGGAATCTCCTGTCTGAATTTCCAATTCCCTCATTTTTTTTCCCTTGGGGCAGCACACATATCAACATGAATAACCCCTCAAAACTGGGTCACTTAATTTCCTGGCTTATTGCCCAGGGGAAAAGCCAGGTTTAATAACCCACAAAGGCTATCAGGATTGGAGCCATCTGAATCCACTGGGTGATTTCATCCAACAAAACAGAATTGGGTACATTAACATGCTGTTAGTACCTAGCCAGAAAGACAGCAAACACCGTCACTTCCATCACCACCTGGCCCCAAAACACTCAACATAATCCACTCAATCCCAGTTCAGAAATCCTTTCCAATCCAAATAAAAATTATTCTGTTGTGGCAAATGGAAAGTTAAATAAAAATGATAAGCACTCCTCTGTGTTCAAGTCCCACTGTCACATGTGGGAAGCAAGATGGCTGCTGTCCAGAATGACAAGCTCCGAGAGAGCCATGGCACTCAGACTGAACTCCAGAACAATTGCTGTATTTCTCTCAGCTCCCAGCTAGGTCTTATCCACCTTTTTCCTAGGCAATCTGGAGACCACTTTGAAGACTCAGAAAATCATTTCCTCTGGCAAATGCCCCTAATACCATCCAACCAGTAAACTAATGTGAATGCCATGGGGCACTTTTTCAAATGCTTTGCTGAATTCAAGATTTCTGTTGCTCCCTTCTGGGAGGAGGTTTCAAAGTATTTATAGATTCTACTAGATTCTGTAACAACTTTGTTCTTGAAAATTCGCAGGATTCTTTTTTTTTTTTGCCATGTATATGTATACATTTGAATTAGAGTGTGCCATTTCTCTGTGTCATATACGTGTGTGTGTATATGGATATATGAATAATGGTATTTTTTTGAGACCTGAATGCAACACATTTTCATTTTAATGTATGCTGATTAGTGTACATTTAAAGTGACAATAACGAATTCTATTCTATTCTATTCTATTCTATTCACAATATTCCAATAAACCTCCCTTGCTTAAGATTGCTCTTCTGGATCTTTTTTCTAGCATCAAAATATTCCTGATCACATGCTGTGGGTTGTTCCAAACCATTCTTGCGTATCTTGATATAGGAAGAACCGTTTCAACAAACACATACACAGTGCCTCATCACACTGATTAATTTCAATGGCTGTGCTGGAAGGAAAGAAAAGGAATTGTTTCTGGCTGAGGAAAGCTGATCCAGACATTTACTGTGAAACAATTCATCTCCCTCTGCTTCTTTCTGCTTTTGTGAATCTAAAAGTGAAGTCTCATTTGACTGGAGTTTGACTTCTAGGTGATTCTATGGATGTGTTTGTGTAAGTTTCCTGGGAAGAATACAGAATAGGATTCTCTTTTCTGGCAAGTTTCTTTACTTCTCAATTTAATCTACAGTCCTGATATTTCCTGATGGCGTTCCACTGAAGTATTAAACAGGTCTGACTCCAGGTAGCTTTCCAAAATCAGCCAGGATTTACAGAAGCTGAAACACTGAATCTAAACTTTTGAGGAGCATTTGATAATGAAGAACAAGCATTAGCAGCTTCAAGTCCTCTAGGTACCGACATAAAAGTCTGGAATATCCTATTGGAAGTACTTTAGAGCACACAATCCCTCATGTACAGGATCCAGTTATGACCTTCACACTGCCTACAGCAATAGGTTAACAAAAAATCAGTTGTTGACTTCATTTCATTGGAACAGATAACATTTATCCAAGCATCTTCACTGTTTCTCACCCTAAAGCAGTTTCACTATAGCCAACTCAACCTTATCCAAATAATTCAAAAACTAGGTTTCTATATTGTGCTAAGTTAGACTAAGCCAAGGGAACTTACCTGTTGTCTTAATATGCTGTGAATGAACTAGTCCATCATACTGAGCCATAATATGGGTTTTTTATATATAAAAACAGCAACTGGATTTTGTTAGGGTTTAGTGCAGGGATAGGCAACCTTGGCTCTTTTATGACTCGTGGACTTCAACTCCCAGAATTCCTGAGCCAGCCATAAAAGAGTCATAAAAGAGCCAAGGTTGCCTACCCCTGGTTTAGTGTATAAAGTGGTTCTGAGGTACGTGCATAGCAATGCAAAAAGTCGGCAGAAGGACAACTCTTCAACTAGCTAGCACCAGTGATGAAGTCTCAGTGGAAGGTATGGTGTCTGGAAGATGTAGCATTCTCAATGTCCTTCCTCCTTGCAATGGATCCATCCAGAATTCTCACTGCTTTGCCTTTTCTTAGAAATTCTGCCTAGGAAATTTCTCACCATTGCAATGGATGCTACTAATTTAGTGAAGAACTTCAAAAAGATATCTCTTACCAGGAGATAAAATATGTGTGATGCTCAGAGAACAGTAATATTAGAACCTCACTTGTAGCCCTTTTTTGTGGTATTTATTAAGCACAGTGACTCCTCCCCGAGATGGAAAAAGGGGATTGAGAAAGCTGGGGGCAAGTGAGATGACAAAGTGGGTTTGCAGACTGCAAATATGAAGCAACAAACATAAACAATAACCATTTTTACTGACAGCAAAAATAATTGCCAAGTGTCAGAAAGACAAGGATTAGGAAAATATACATTTCTCACAGACATAAAATACAGAGTACAGAAACAGAACAAACTGGCTTTTAGGCAAAGCCTTATAGAGAACAGGAGTCACATTCTTTGTGACAAGAGACACCAGGAACATATGAATGTCTATGCTCCCAAAATACCCTCACAAGTGCTAGAGTTAGGAATGGATCCATGTAGGCTCTCCTCTGTCCCTGCTGGTTAGACTTGTGGAGAGCCTATGTTGGCTAGATCCAGCCCTTCCTTTGGTAGCTTGATGCTGCAAGACATTTCAAGGGAGAAAGATGGGTCTGGGATCCCAACAGCAGCTGGATACTATTATATGATAAAATGGCTTTTTTTTTGTTAGCCCACCTTTACACCTGACAAAAGGTATAAATACAAGTGGAAAAAAGAGATTGGATCTTTAAGGATAATAGTAGGGTCAATAAACCATGGAAATAAACCATGGCTCATTGGACATGAAGTATCCAATGGGGGAAGAAGTACCTAGCTATCTCTCAGAGAATTTGGCACATGCACATGAGATGGAAAGAGCAGGAGAAAAAGCCTGGAAGAAAAACATTCCACAAACAGGAGAGAACATTGTCCAAAAGGGATAGACTGACTGGCCTGGCAACCATCCAAGGTTGTGTAAGAGAACCCAGGATTCAGTAGATGATATGCCAAGATGACAAGGAATGTTTTTAGTACCAGGAATTCTGGGATTCCTCACCTGGATCAAAACAGATCCCTGCTGTGCTTCCCCACTAGTCTCTTTGTTCCGTACAGTTCACAGGGTAGTCTCCTGCAAGACATAAGTATGAGTTCCATCTACCCGGGAGAATCCTTCAGGTGCTTCAGCTTCCTCTGTATTGACTCCGGAAGGCAGGCCTTTTGGCAATCCATTTGCCAAACCATTGTTGATTTTCTCCACTCCCAAAGAGGTTGGGTCTGAGCAACTAGCATCCTTTAAAAAAATAAGAAGCCACAGGTCAACTATCCTCAAGGCGTCTGTAACACTGCTTTTTTAACACACTAGTATCATAACTTCCCCATTATGCCATCACACCCCACCCTCCAACTCGTATGTAACTATTTTAAAAATCCTGAAGATTCAATCCCTGCCACAGAGAAATTGCAGGAATTGATTAAATACGAAGAAACGAGACTAAGGACAGGCAGAGACTGACCAATGAGGTATGGAGCCACCGAGTCAAGAGGTCACAGGATTGAAAAGGATTTGCTGGAGAGGAGGAGGCTCTGAGGAGATAGGAATTGCTGGAGGATTCAAGAGAAGAGTTTGCTGGGATGGGTCAGTACAGAAAGGCTGCAGGAATAGGAGGGCATTACAGCATGAAGGAGAAGAGACAGCCTATGCCAGTGGTGGCGAACCTATGGCACGGGTGCCAGAGGTGGCACACAGAGCCCTCTCTGTGGGCACACGCACCGTCGCCTCAGTCCTAGGCCTTCAGCTGGGTTTTATAAAACCTTTTCGCTTTAGGCTTCCGCCACCATGTGCAAAAAAAAAGGTTCAATCAATCAGTCAATTTCAACTTCTCGCGGGGAAAAAAAAGATCTTGCAAAGTTGGAATTGATTGATTGAACTTTTTAGTCCCACCCACTGCTGTTACCACTGCAGCCATACCCACCCAATGGGCCACACCCACCCAGCACCCGACAATGCATAAGTGGGTTTTGGGTTGCAGTTTGGGCACTCGGTCTCTAAAAGGTTCGCCATCACTGGCCTATGCTGACTGAAGCACAGAAGAAATGAAGAAGGTGAGGAACAGGAGATGTTGTCCAAGTTACCAAGGAAGATTCATTTTTGGATAGAACCCCACTTTTTTCAGAAAAGCTGCCTTAGGAAACTCCCAAATTATCTCTGCTTGTCCTCATGCAGCAATTTAAGACACTATACAGATACTCTTTGACTTACAACCATATGTTTAGTGACCATTTGAAGTTACAATGGCATTGATAAAGTAACTTAGGACCATTTTTCACACTTATGACCATTGCAGCATCCCTATGGTTATATGACTAAATTCAGATACTTGGCAACTGGTTCATAGTTATGACAGTTGCAGTGTCCTGCGGTCATGTAATCGATCGCCTTTTGTGACCTTCTGACAAGCAAAGTTAATGGGGAAGCCAGATTCACTTAACAACCGAGTTACTAATTTAACAGCTGTGACGATTTGCTTAACAACTGTGGGAAGAAAGGTCATAAAATGGGCCCAAACTCACTTAACGGCCATCTCGCTTAGTAACAGAAAAATTGAGGTCAATTGTGGTCGAAAGTCGAGGAGTATCTGTAGTTCTAAAAGACATTGTACTGCACAGTATAAAAGGCCAGGGAGAGCAAAGACGGAAGCTTGGCAGTATTAAAGAACAAGTCTAAAAATGTGAAACTAACGAAGTTCATGAGTGAAAAAGCCTGAGAATCTCTCTAGGCTACCAAGTCAATTCTTTTCAATAATTATCTCCCAACAGCTTCATTTAGAATAGCATTACTGGGAGACATACTTTAAAGCTTTTCTGCAATGACTGTTTTATTTAACCTTCAGTCCACTAACAGGGTCATGTGGAAGAAAAACGCCTCATTGTATTCAGGACTCTAAAAGAGACGACATCCAAGGCAGGTCACTTCTACAGCCCACATTCTGATAAATTGATATTTTGTAATTACTTTATTTCCTAGTAGGGAAACCCAACTGACAGCCATTTTGTGGGAGCACCCACAGCATGTTTTCAAAATTCCAAATGTATCCCTCAATACACCAAATGCCTGGGTCGCTTAGTCTAATTATAATCAAGTCTGTGTTCAATGCATCATCTGAAATTACAGAATCCTCATTAATGGCCTTCCAGCCTCTGCTTAAATACTTTCTCAGTGAAGGAAAGTTCTCCCTTGCTTTGACTGCCAAATTGTGCTTAAATGATAGGATATTTCTCCTAGTATGGAACTAAGATTTGCTCCTCCATAATGGCCACTGTTCCTTGTCCTCTGGATTAATAAACTTAAATCTCACCTCTGCAGGGTCACGTACTCCACAACGGAGCATTTCATGGTACTTTGCAGGCAAACAGCAAAGTAATCGCGGCAGCACTGGAAAAATCGTTTTGGGATTGACATCCTTTCCACGTGTTGGGCCTGTGAGGGAAAAAACATGGCATTAGCAAAGGAAGGGAAGGGAAGCAGAAACCTTTTAGGGCAGTTCCTCTGCCTGCTGACTCCAGGAGTAGCAATAGTAATGTTATCAGGAATGGAAAGCAACTCTTTGCAGAACTTAGATTTACATCTCCTACCAAGTAAAAAAAAAAGAGGAAACCTAACGTCCCTGCATTAAGGACTAAATAGAATGCTATCCTAAGGCAATCTAACATTGTAAGACAAGATTTAGACAACCTAGTTTCCCTTCATGTTTTGGATTTCTATTCCCAGCAGATTCAGTGGCATGACCAATGATAAGAATTTGTGGGAATTGTGGGAATAGACCAGTAACAAGAAGAATTGGCTGAAAGACCAAACCCCTTTTTCCTTGGTTTTTCAGCCATCTCTTAGCACCGCAAGCATTTGACTCCCATCTATACCAATATCAAAACCTGATTTTATTCATTTTATTTATTCCTGACATTTGCATCCTTTCTTTTCATGGCGGTTTACAATGGAAATAAAAAGGGACACATTCTCACTCTCTTCTCAAGTTCTCCATTCTGCAGATGTAATGATATGTGTAAAACGATGGCAAGCTATGTTTGCGTATCCAAGCTCAATTTCCCAACAAGACCTACCCTTGATGGCCTCTCCATGCAAATTGCATGTATATGCACCCATATATACTTGGGGCTTGGCTTTTATGTTCTGGATGGTATTTCTAGATCCTCTGTATTTAAACATGTTACGTACCGGTGAGAAGACTGACTAGCAGCCCTACCACAACAACCGTAGTAGAGTTGTGTGCGCTGTACCACATGTATGATAAATTGTAAAACTTCCGCAACCCTGTGAGCCTAGAAAGAATGCAAAGAGATACATGTCAAGAGCTATTCTATTCAAACATCTCCTCAGGCTAGTAGTGGAACAAATCCAGGTTCCCAAACAGGCAGTTCCACAAGCCTCTTTTAAGTTATACAGCAATCACTGCATTACTTCAGTCTCATTGCAGCCCCTGGTTTTCTGTCCCTCAAGAACTAATGTCCAGAAACCAACATTAGCAGCAAGTAGCTCAAAGAAGGCAAGTTGGTTTCGAAATGCAGTAGGGGAGCAGAAACAACATGCTCAATGAAAATCACACAGATTTAACCAAAAAATGAGAAAGAAGCTCAAAAAGAATGGATCTATCACTGGCTGTTAGCTAAAGTGATAGATGCAGTCTCCAGTTGAGAAATGTTTTGAAAACAGTTATTGAAAACTGTTTTGAAAACAGTTATAAAACACAAATACATGAAAAAGCAGTGGTCTGTCTTATCTATGAATTTTTCTCAGTTGGCTATTGTGAAAAGCAAACTGTCGGATTAGATGACTCTTTAATCTGGTCCAACTGTGACTTTTAACAACATGTTCCAATTCTTATAATAATCTTATAAAGTTGGCCATTACTAACACTTATATATTACAAGAAAAGCAGTCAAAGGCTTCCTCTCATCCATATAGCTTGATCAATACAATTGTCTTCCAGATCTCCTCATTTGATCCTGGCCTCTCAAGCCAGGAGGGTAAGTGGACAGTAATTATGATAATGGTGGTAAGAGAGAATTTTGTAATTCATGATACTTTCACTTATACAAGCCACCACCCCCCAAGAAACTTTTCATTGTTCTTTTCTGCTATTCTGTTAAGTGCAATTCCATATTGATAATTTATTATCCTGGTTCTACGTTGCCTATGCTTTATAAATAAATAAACATGGAAGGTTTGAAACCAGGAACTACATTGCTCATAAGGCATTCTCTCTGAGCTACATATATCAGTGCTTAATTATTATCTATAAATGGACAGTCCAAGTTATAAAAGAAAAAAATAAATAATTAAAATAATTAAAAAGACTCACTGAAAAGATAAAAATGGGCTTGTGAGGAAGAAAAATAGGAAAGAGGTGATAAGGAAGAACTAGAAAGAATTAGCTAGAGAATGAAGTAAGAATTACCCAATATTTGAAAGCACCTTCAAGAGTTGAAACATTGATTGGACATGTTATTTTTTGTAACATGCAAATATGTTTAAGGTCCGGGCTAATCTGAACCTACCAATAATTCAAGCATTCACTTGTGGGAACATGTTTTCAGGGGAGAAATAAGAGCAATGTTGAAAGTCCAAGAGGAACATGTCATGCAATGGATACTGCATATGCACAGGGCAGCTAAACATCTTGTGGAAGCAGTGTTTAGGTTAAACAAACATTGGAAAATGTTCTGAACTGTGAATAAGTCAATAATTGAAGTAATTGCTAGAAAAGAAGCAGGGCAAGGCGAGAACTTTCTCTTGGAGAAAGCATCAAAAGGAAAGTAAGTTTAAAGTTCAGGCTGTGACCTTTGGTGAAACTTAAGAAATTGAGTAACATTTTGGAGAGGAATCTCCTCCCTACATGTCCTAAACATTTGCTTCTCAGGCAAGGTTTCTTCTACTACAGGCATGTCAAACCCGTGACATCATGTGACATTGCATGACGTATCGCAACTTTTTCCCCATTGCCAGCAATGGGGTGGGCGCGGTTTCGGCATGACGCAGTTTGACATGCCTGTTCTACTACCACCATCCTAACAAAACAACATAGAATTTTGCAGTGAGCAGGCAAACCCTACTTGACAGGAATTCTGAGTATGAAAGTTGGATTTTACTTCAGCCCAGAAGATGTTGGGCCAAGAACATCTTTCTTGTTTTTACCTTTCTGGAGCTGTTGTTGAGGTCAACAATGTTGTCATGACAGCAGTAGTCAGATTCCCATCCGTTGCTAAAACAGTGGGATTAGGAGACACAGACTGGTAGTTGATAACCATGCTTCCAATGCCCACCCAAAATGCCATGGCCAGCCCAGCAATTAATCCAACTACAGCACCCTGTAGAGAAACAAGGAGTAAAGTGTGAGGGGCTTTCCCACATGCAAAGAAAGGGTTATCCCCAAAAGGTCTGAACATATACTGGCTGGGTTCACCCAATATGGCAGGCTGAATCTACTGCAATCTCTAAATAAGCCCTATGAAGCAGTGGCAGATGATCAAAAGAATAAAAAAATGGCCTGGGCAAATAGGGAACAGCCATCTTCACCAATTTCTTTGAGGAGACTGAAAATAAACACCAATGATAATCAAATTAGATAGCAGAAGACATTCACCTTCTGTCCTCTTTTCTACCTGCAGGAGCTGAAAAAAAACAAAAAATAACAGAATGTTCCCAGATAAGCTCTATTTTGTACAGCTGCTCTAGGCTCTTGCCTCTGTGACCAGCAGCTGGGACAGAAGGTGAACGTCCTCTGTAAAGACGACAGGGCAGTTTCATTGAGACAGGGCAGTTTCATCCAAGCCAGTTCCAGCTAGATGAATACTGATCTTCTCTTGCCCCATTGCTGACTCAGCTTTTTTTTCTTTGCATCACATGCTAACTTCATCCAAACAGGTTTTCTGAGTATACTAATACACACCAAAGCCAGCACTTTTGTAAGCTTGTTTTTTGGCAATACTATTAGAAACCTATCTTGTCACCATCCTCCACCAGATGCATTGCCAGGTGAAGGGTGCATGTATGTGCACATATATGCTGAATCTGACATTGGGGATAGTATGAGGATCTGCCCAGCCGCTGGGGTAGCAACACTTACCACAGAGTTGGCACAAGGAAAGAACATGCCCAGGCAGAATAGTCCCAGCAATGGTCCTCCCACCATGCCAAAGATGCTGATGGCAGCCTTAGAAGAGGGGAAAAAAGGAGGGGTTTGATTTGGGGTTTTTCCCATGAAAACCTGCCTTCTGCTGAATCAGATCATTGGTCTATCTAGTGCTGCCTGCAGATGCTCCTTATTGAATCTGGGACTTGCATGAAAAGCAGATTACTGAGCTACCTCTACTTCTTCCCTTTATTATTTATTCTCAGTAAATATATGATAAGGTATCTGAAACACAAAAATGCTATATCTTTGTTAAAATAAGCAAATCCAGTCTGGCCCACAAGCTCCAGTTCTAATGGCTGAGCCGGAAAAATTGTTCAATGTTTTTGTTAGGGCGTCAGGAAAGAGAAATTCCCTCATTACTTCCTGAAAACTCTGGCAACTAATGTTTAATTATGAGAGCTGTATTTAATTATGATTCATTTGATGTCATCTATGGTCCATACGGCAACCTTCCCCAAGTTAGGTGCCCTCCAAATATATAGACTTCAATTTTCAGAGCTCTCAAGCATGGCCCTGCTGTTTAAAGGTTAGGATTAAGGGTCAGGGCTAACAAATTTTGGGAAATCATCTTTATATAATGGCAGCCATATAGGCAGAAAAGGCAGAATTATTATTCTCCGGGTAAAATATCAATTTGGCATACTGGGCACAAATGTTGTGAATTTGTGGTGACTGCACTGGAAAAAAAGTATGTAATGTAATTTGTAAAGTATGTAAAACAATGTAAATGTCAACGCCTGAAATATGCCTGAAAGTCCTTTTAAGTGTTTCGTTAATCAGACACATGACAGTAAATTTGCTACATTTCTGTTGTATCTTTGGGATAGAGTCCTCCATACCTTTAGTAACCACAGATTTTGCAAGCACTTGCTTTGTGGCAATAGGCTCATGCTGCTGTAGTTGTTTCCCAAAGTTGCAAGAAAGTAGATTGTAAAGATGTGGTTGGGCAATTTAGGGAATGGCAACAGAGAAGGAGGAAGAAAAAGATGAAGAGCATCAAGTAGCTGGCCAGTTGTTCAGCCCCTAGGTCCTTCATGTCAGCTCAGAAAGGGCCGAGGGGGGCGGGAGGCAAAGAAGAACAAGACTAAAAGTAAAAGAGAATGAAAAAGAAATAAAAAAGCAAGTAACAAAGGAAGGCAAAAGAAATGAAGAAAGATGGGAAGGAGGAGCAAGGATTATGTTCTGAGAAGAAAAAAGGGGCCAGGAAGATTGAGTTGTCACTTTGACAAGATATTGCCCATCAGCACGCAAAAGGAAAATCAGTGAAGAATATATTATAAAAAAAAGCAGATGATAGGGCTAAAATGCTTCTCTCCTTTCTGGGATAATGATGTGGGACTGCATTACAATAAAATCCTCTTTGTGAAGAAGCCAGAGTTTATTTTGATTCTGCACTGCAGATGATACCACCAACAAAGAAAGCCAACAGAGAAAAAAATACCATACTCTTTGACAGATGCCTAAAAGCTGAAGCGATTCTTTCCAAACATGGTTTTTTCCACAGTTCTCTTTCGCAAGATTTCTTAAGAAGAAGAAGAAGCGACTGGGATTACAACAATCCCATTATTTGGAGAACCAATTTATCCATATGTACATTAAGGTGGAGATGTTTTAATTTTATTTCTACAACCTTCTTATGAGCCAATGAGGAGACAGGTCTTTTTAATTATAATGGAATTATGTTAACAAAGATAGCTTATTGGGATAGGGCAGTGGTGGTGAACCTATGGCACGGGTGCCAGAGGCGGCACTCAGAGCCCTCTCTGTGGGCACGCGCGCCGTCACCCCAGTCCTAGGCCTTCAGCTGGGTTTTATAAAACCTTTTCGCTTTAGGCCTCCGCCTCCGTGTGCAAAAAAAAAAAAAAGGTTCAATCAGTCAATTTCAACTTCTCACGGGGGGGGGGGGGAAAGATCTTGCAAAGTTGGAATTGATTGAACTTTTTAGTCCCACCCAGTCTGCCATTACCATCGCAGCCACGCCCACCCAATGGGCCACATCCACCCAATTGGTCACACCCAGCCAATGGGCCACACCCACCCGGCACTCAACGATGCATAAGTGGGTTTTGGGTTGGAGTTTGGGCACTCAGTCTCTAAAAGGTTTGCCATCACTGGGATAGGGTGCAGGTTGCTATAGAAGGAACACACAGGCTGGAGTTTTCTTTAAGTTACAAGAGCAAGCTTGCTCTGCAAAAAGGACATTTTTATACCTTCACTCCTAAATTGCAGAGGGGACCCGGGAGAGAGAGCTTTGCAGTGTATTAGAAAAGTAATGATAAGCAGATAATTTGTTGGCATGAAGGGTTTCTTGTTTACATTCTGCCAATTACCTAGATCACCTTGATTTACCTGAACAGCATATCAAACACATGCTGCAGCATTGTGTCTCTAACTCTTAACATCTCCATGGCCAACACAGCTTGTCAAGAAAAGCTGTACTGGCATCCTAGTTTCCCACAAAGAGGAAAAATTCTTAAAAAAGGGTTGTAGCATCTGGGAAGTCACTGGAAAGGTGAAGTTTAAGCCAAAAGTAGGCATACACAGAATCTTGATTTCAGAAGTATCATTCTAATTTCTAAGGAAATTGCTATTTTCAGAACACAGAAAAGTACCTGAAATAGCACAGTTAGAAATCTAGAGTGGATAATATATAACAGCTTTAAATTATTATACTGCACATGCTGGACAGCAGCACAAGTAGTCCTCACTTAACAACCATCTGCTTAGCGATCCTTTGAAGCTACAATAGACCTCCCCAGAACTACTTATGAGCTGATTTCAAATTCTGATGGCCACGTGCATGCACGCATGCACACACGCACATAGAGACACACACCTCCCCCTGTGATCACATGATCACATTTTGGGTGTTTGGCAACCAGCTCACATTTATGGCTATTTGAAGTATCCCTCAGTCACATGTCCATGATTTTCAGCATTTTTTTGCTAGTTTCCAGTATTTACTTCTGGTTTGGGGCAAAAAACCGCCCACTGGATATAATGGATGTGTTTAACTACCATGACATTACTTAATGACCACCGCAAAAAAATCACAAAATCAGGCATAGTCACAGGGTGACCCACTTAACAACTGCCATGACTTATGGCTGTAATTCAGGGCTCAACCGCAATCCTAAATCAAGGATAACCTACATAGCATCTTGGAAATGGATTTAATCTTAAAGAGTTCTAAGGCAGCAAACATGCCCTTGTCTCTTTTAGTGTGAAAAAAATGCCCAGAATATGATCTTAGTATTATTGTTGATCTTATTAGAAATATATGCTTGATTCTGAAGGCTGCATTATTACATACATTGAAATATTTATAGGATGAAATCTAGTTCATATAGTCTACAGTGAGGGTGAAAGTTCATTCTCCGAGCTTGTAGGTTGGTTTCCGAATATTTTGCTTCCAGGCTAGGTAATATCTTCAGCAGAGTTTAGGGGATGTCAGTTTGAGTGTTTTTCTGTTTATAAGGGCTTCAGGTGTGGGTGTGTGGCTGCCATCCACACCTGAAGCCCTTATAAACAGAAAAAACACTGACATCGACATCCCCTAACTCCACTAAAGATGTTGTGTAACCTGGTAACAAGCAGAAACCAACCCACAAGCTCGGAGAACGAACCTTCACCCTCATCCTACACCCAAGCTACAAATATTCGCTACTATTGCATGATCTACAGTATTGTGTATCTGTTACAAACATTTAGGTCATCTAAGTCCCTTTGAGGAAAGCATGATTTTAGTTTTGGAGTAGTTATTCTGGACTTTTCCTCCATATAATACTCTGCCAGGGCCTGAAAATTTCTAAAACCAACATCCATCAGCAGCATAAAGAAACATGAGTCTACTGTTGAGTTAGTTAATTTTATCATTTGTTAACAGATATTCCACCCAGTGATGGGATTCAAATATGTGAACAACTGGTTCTCTGTGTGGATGCCGCTTCCAGAAGTCTATTCTGGGCCTGGGCAACAAAAAAATAGCTACCGGTTCTGCCGAAGTAGTGCAAACTGGCTGAATCCCACCACTGATTCCACCTGTTCTGAGAATTTAATCTGCTTTATATTATTAGATTGGAACTTTAACATCTCTAAAAATGTTTCTTAGAGCTACAAGTTCTTAGAGCTACCACAACGAAAAACACTGTCAATTTTAATTTTGGGTATCTATGAAAATATTGTTTTCATATTGTTTTGTATCTTTTTGCACTGACTGCAATGAAGTATATACATACTGATAATGGAGAAGTTTGCAGATGGCCAATTATGTAACCTTTATCAGTCTGTGAACAATTACAAAAAACTTACTTCACTCACAAAAAGGAAACTACAGAAAAGAAACTATCTCATATCCCAGAGAAAGAACCACATTTCTATAACACCTTCAAAGCAATGAACTGCTTTGAAGTCATTGAGATGACCTTGGAGAAGGCATCCAGAAGCTATTAGAACAACAAGAATAGAAGAAGCAGGTGTTAGGGGGTGGGGGTAGGGGGGAGAAAGTATTAAAAAAAGATTGGCGTCCTGACTTTCTGGATTATAACAAGAGAAGAAAACACAGGCAGACTTGCACGAATAGCCTATCTCAGAAAAGCACAATTCTAGTTTTCCAGATTGGGTCTACCTTGTAAAGAGGACAATTCATAATGCCACATATTTTGGGGGCGAAAAACCTCTTCTCCACATGCTTTCCTATCTAATGATCACTTCTTACCTGTAGCACTGGACCCATCATGGAGGAGATGTAAGCCATGCCCAGGCAGAGAAGACCATAGCCCAGAGCTGGGAAGAGAAAATGTCAAGACAATAGAGCCAAACTGAATGCTGGCAGGTAAAGGATGCCCTACGACTGCATTTGACCACAAACTTTGACAGGCATCACTCACCTAACAATTTGGAGTAGAGTGTGGCACGTCTCTCAGGAATGTTGGTCACATATGGGCGAATCAGGTCTTCCATGGTCACTGTTGCCAGTGAATTGAAGGCTGAGGAGATGGTGCTGTTGAGATGAGAGGATTGGGAAAGATAGGAGGACTAAGTAAACCAGGGGCCCCTTACATCAAGCCCAGATCCTGCGTCCAAAAAGGAAAGAAGGATTTACCTTAGGGAGCCACTGAAGAGACAAGCTACAAAGAGACCAGGCAAGCCAGGCACATCTTGAAGCACATCCATCACAAAGTAGAGGACCATCTGCAAAAAGGAGGATGTGGGGTGAGAAAAAAGATGAAAGGACAGAGGATCAGATTGGTGCAAAGGACTGCCACGGGCATTGTGTGATGCAAAGCAAGCAAGCAAAATGTTTCCAGGATAGCACACAAGAGAAAGGGCATCGCAAAGTACCTGAAGATATCACTATTACCCATCATCAGATTTCAGGGTGAACACATTCACTTTTCATCATGCATGGATTTCTGCCAGTCTCTGTGAAACAAGACATTTTCTCTTACCCATTAGGCTGGTGGTCTGCATGCACATGTATGGATATGGGAATGGAAGGAAGATACTCTTCAGAAAGTGCAGAAAAGAAGGCTTGAGTAAGAGAATAATGTAAATCTTGTCCCACATGCTAGCTCCCAATTGTGCACATGTAAGAATTTGATTGACCTGATCAGGTGAAGCGTTGAGCTGCTCCTGTGTCAACTGATGGTCTTGGTAGTAGGCAAACATGACTAAGCCAGTGAGGCAGCTGAGGCAGAGCACAATTTGCTGACAGGGGAACACTGCATAGCAGGACCTAAAGAGAACAAGAAAAGAAGGGACAGTATTAATTTAACTAGTTACACATTTCAGCCATCTGCTAAATGTATCATCTCCCCACCCCAAGCCCTGGTTCCATACTCAGCCAAGTGAAGCATCTATAGAGCTTCTTGAGGTACCCAGCACTGTAATTCCCCAACCCTCCCAGTAGCCCACAAGTGTCACACTCACAACACAGCGTGGCGCTCTGAACGGGAGCTTAGATACCGTTGGACTTGAGCCTGGTTTACCCCATAGAGAGCCAACATCATGAATACGCCCCCAAAAGCCAGAGTCCAAAAGGTGTGTCGTTCATAAGGGTCAGGATTCAGACTATTAAAGAGAAAAGTCAAGGGTCATAGGAATATCAGGCATGTGTATGCATATGAACTAAGTTGCTTGCACTTAGGGGAACACAAATGTGAGTGCTGAGAGGGAGATCTTCAGTTACTACTGTGTAGACAGGAAAGAAAATATGTCCCTCACTTACTCAATGCCTGATATCTTGCCTTTGTCAGCAGCCAGCTTCCAAACACGATCTATGCCGCCAACCTTAACAGTACCCACTACAATCACAGCCACCTGTCCTGCAAACATGACAAAGGTCTGGAACACGTCTGTCCAGATCACAGCTTTGAGTCCACCCTACAAAAAGAAAGAATCTGCTGTCAACAAGGGGAGCAAGATGAAAATAATCTGGAATCCTCACAGCACAGAAGCTGGATCTCCAACAAGGACAAATAGCAAGGGGTTCGGGTGGTATAAGGGGGGAAACTGTCTTATCCCCTTTTCTTCAAGAGAATACTCACCAGGGCAGTATAGAGGGTACAGATTAAGCCTATGGTCAGCACTGAAGCCCAGATGTCAAAGTTGGTCACTGCAACCAAGAAAGAACTGTCAGGGAAGGGCCTAATTGCTGAAAGCCTCTTCCCAGCAAGAGAGAAATGTTCATCATCTGTTCACATTGAGGTCAAACCAGGCTTTGGGGTCAACCAGTGCTAGCTTTCTTTGAGCAGATCTTTGTTCCTCATTATAGCTCAGAAGAACTTCCCACCCTAAATTCCCATTGGGTCCTCAAGAATGTGGCACTTTACTCACCTGCATTGAGAGCCAAGGCTGGGGCATAAAGGACCACTCCCATGTATATCACCTATGGAGACAAAATCAGTACCACTGTTGCTGGACCACAGCTGGCTCTATGAAACTCACGTCAGAGGAAGGTAGAAGGAAAGACAAACAAGGAGACCTATGTCTATTGCCTTCTCCTTCCAATACCTCCACAAGTTCTTTGTTCAAATAAAATTCAAGGTGTATCTTCCCCTGAGATTTAGAAACAGGAGAGGGAAAAACAAACCTCAGGGACCATTTAAAATATATTATTATGTAATGCATTTTAATGCAACTTTTCCATCAAATAGTCTTACTTTTTGCCTTCACAGGAGCCAGGCAATTATTTGGCTGAGAAAGTGAGTTGCCCTAGAATTTTGGTGAGAGATTTCAAGAAGTTTTCAACTATGCTATGTAGGACTTACTATGTAATGTTTACCTGCTCTGTACCTCAAAATGTCAGAACATAATTGTCATTTTTTAACAATTATACTTTGAAGTTTCTTCAAAAGCCATAAAAGAGATATTAAAAAAACATATGCTGCACTACGGTTACAAATTAGCAATAGCAATAGCACTTAGACATATATACTGGCCCATAGTGCTTTACAGCAGTGGTTCTCAACCTGTGGGTCGGGACCCCATTTGGGGTCGATCGACCATTTCATGGGGGTCGCCAAGCAAGGCTGTCCGCCATTTTTTTTGTCCGTCATTTTTTTTTGTCTGCCATTTTTTCCCCCTTTTCCGGCGGGTGCCTTACCTCCCTTGGGCTGGGCCAGCTGGTGGTCGGCCTGCTCCGTCTCTGCCGCTTGCCAGCTACGCCTCGGCCGGCGCAGGGGGCAGAACCACGCATGCGCGGCGCTCCTGGGCAGGGAAAGTCCTCGACTTACGACCGGTTGGGTAGTCCTCGACTTACGACCAGTATAGTCCTCGACTTACGACTGGTTTAGTCCTCGACTTACGACCGGTTTAGTCCTCGACTTACAACCAGTTGGGGTCACGGCATTAAAAAGGTTGAGAACCACTGCTTTACAGCATTCACTGAGCGGTTTACAGTCAGCCTATTGCCCCCAACAGTCTGGGTCCTCGTTTTACTAACCTTGGAAGAATGGACAGTGAGTTAAGGTTGAGTTGGTCAGGATCAAACTCCTGGCTGTGGGCAGTTAGCTTGCAATACTGCATTCTAACCACTGCGCCACCACAGCTCCTTTTAGTTGTTACCCACCTCTGTTAATTTGTAAAAGTAATGAAGGTGGGCAACAAATAAAATAAACAAACAAAATGACCTTCACACCAAGGCAGATTTGAATCCACACACTCCCTATACTGTGGAGCAAAAGATAACAGGAAGCCGATGAGTCCTTGGTACTCCAGAAAGAGTTTGATGAAGCCAAAAATGTCCCAAGGAAATAAAAAATTAGATATCTGGACTCGAAAAATGTGCAGGAGTGTCATTTGAATAGGGCAGGAAGCCTATCCTTGGCTAGAGAGGCAAATGAATTTACAAAGCAGAAAGAGAAATAAGAAATGAGGGGGGAAGAGCCAAAGCACAGCCTAAGGCAGTGTTTCTCAACCTTGACAATTTTAAGGCATGTGGACTTCAACTCCCAGAATTCCACAGCCAGCATTGCTGGCTGTGGAATTCTAGGAGTTGAAGTCCACATGCCTTAAAATTGTCAAGATTGAGAAACACTGGCCTAAGGCAAGAAGTCTAGCACCTAAATCTAAAAAGGAGGAAAATATTGTTTTCATTACCAGAAAAACAATGTAGATAATCTCTGTACTTACCATCTGGAAGATGAAGGTGACTGTTCCACATAGTCTCACCACCTTGTTGAAACGCAGCTCCAGATACTAGGAGGACAAACAGAACCGGCAAAATGATGGGATTGTGGAAAGACAGGTAGATGCAACCCTAATAAACTTTTCTTGGTCAAGACTTTGGCTCCGTGGGAAGAAAGGTAAGACCAAAACACAGGTGGATATCAGTGGTCAAATGCCTAAACTTCCTGGGAGGCATATAACTGTATCTCCTGGCATTTCTCCTAGTCCATGCTAAAATTTTGCCATTTGGTGCAGCTGCTATTGCCCTATATTTGCTTTCCAACCCAAATTACAAATTTGCTTCTTCTGATATTCTGATATTCCCTACCTACAGGGAGAGGGAGATGGGATAGAATAATAGGATGGGCTGCAAGAGTATCTATATTTGTGAGGATGAGAAGGGAAGTAAGTTTATCTTTAGACATACAGCCCATGGCATCCTTCCCCAGGGTGAATAAAGGTTAGTATAGACCATTTTTGAGATCCGATCACTTCTGCAGAGATAAGGGTAGAACATTTTGGGTTAGCATATTTTGTACATCTGTAAAACATGGCTACGCTTATTATTTATTTATGTATTTATTTCAATTTATATAGCCATCCATCTTACTTAGATGACTTTGGGCAGCTCACTTTAAAACAATAGACTCATATAAATAAAAACAATTAACCAAAAAAATAAAAGTGCAGGAAGTGCCACTCTATAATTTATGGACAATGCCACCATCTTGCTAGCTCCATGGGATCCCCAGGTCTGATGGCACAGCTGGATCCTTCAGGGAATTTCTAAATGCCATCCCGGCAAAAGGATGAGTGTGAGCAACTGGAAGCAGTACATACCCATCAACAGAATTGCACCCCATATTTCATGTTAAGCCTAAACCTCCATAGATGTATCCTTACTCTGTATTAATTTATAACAGTAGATGTTGCCAACTAAGCCACAAGCATTGGCTATCTCTTAAACACCTCCAACTGTAGCAGAAAACACAGAATAAGCTATCAATAACTCTAATCCATTATGCAGGTATTTTTATACATTTTACTTATATGTTACCTTTTCAAACATTTTCCCCCTGGGAAAATACTCTTAAAAATATTATTTGTTTCTGTAAAGCTAAAAAATACAATATATTAAACATGCTGGTGCCAATTCTTGTATTCTATGTCCACAGAGTCTACGTCCAGCACTTACCTCGTATGTACTGGTAAGTCGCAGGCGATAGAAGATTGGGATGAAGACATGAGCTGGGATAAGAAGCCCCAGAAAATAGGAGCAACCAAGGAACCAGTATTCAGTCCCAAAGCGATAGATTTCAGAGGGGACGCCAAGAATGGCCACAGCTGACTGGAAAGTGGCAAGTAATGAAAAAGCCAGTGGTAAGAAAGTCATGCTACGATTGGCCAGTAGAAATTCTTGGACAGTGCGCTGCTTCCCACCAGTCAGTGCATAGAAGAGTCCTATCCCTACAGAGAAGACTAGCAGCAGCACAAAAATAGCATAGTCCGCCACAGTAAACTTCATGGTTGGCATGGTACAAGTGCTGGCACCTTTGAAAAAAGTAGTGGCTGGTGGAAACTGATGGAGAGTCCAGCTGTGTTGTTAATAACTCTTGTTCATAATGTAGAAGCACTCATCATGGATAGAATGGCTAAGCTGAATTCTACCAGAGCATCAGGCTCTCTTTTGTCCACCGCTGGAAATGCAGAGAGCAGCCCATCACCAAAGTGCCAAGCAAGTACTTTATATCCAGGATCCTGTTGAGGCTGGCATGATCAAGAATAGCCAATCTGGAGGAGAGAGAAGAAAATGCAAATATGCAAGTGAACAGAATGCCAGAGCATATAATGTCCAAGGAGACAGTCACTTCAAATTCCAACAAAAGCTCAGTCTATGCAATGTTCTGACCTTCAGTCAGTCACCTCAGAATCTCAAGGCCCAGAACTGAGCAAGGAAAGTTTTCTTGACCCAGCAAGAGTTGGCAGGCTTCCAAGCAGGGTAAATGTTGGCAATCAGTTGTAACCCCTTCAAGCCAAAAACATGTTTGGCCTTTTGCACAAAGGTCCATTAGCAGAGGCAGGGTGGAGTTGATAACTTGCACACCAGGAGTGAAGGAGTCAGAGCAAAATACTCTGTCTGGACAAGCCAAAAACAGCAGTCAGAAGAGTCAGCAGGAGATACATTCAACAAATCTTTCCTAATACAGTATGCCAGTATACACACCAAGGCAGCCAACTATGACACTAGCAACCCAGATTCTGAAAGAAAGATCCAGTAGAGCAAGTAATAGACAACTGGTATATTTATTGTACCATTTAGCTTGCATGTGTGAGGTAGACTATCTTGAGGTTATAACCGGAGAAACGTATCAAATCAAGGCTTTCTGTCCTAGAATGCTCTCTCTCTCTCTCTCTCTCTCTCTCTCTCTCTCTCTCTCTCTCTCTCATACACACACATTGTCAAGCCTCATTCGCACAAGCAAATAGCAGAGGAAACAGTAAGTCTCCCCTGAGCTATAGCAGATTTGAGTTTGAATTACAAAATATTCTTTCCTACAATGAACCCCCTCTCCATTAGAAAAAGGATAAAGTAGGACTTCTACTCTTGGCAGATTAATTTCCTGTGTGCAGAGCTCAGGTGTGGTCATCTAGAAATGGAGGAAGTTATATTATATATCCTTTATTCAGAAGATCAATTAATTGTAAGCAACTAAAACAGATTCAGCAATAACACTGTAGGCAAAGTTAGTGTAGGATAAAAATTATTTCTAGTTTACAGGCAGATGAACAAATCTCTCCCAGTCTTCAATATAGAAAGGTTGGCATAAGAACCTTGAATGTTGTTCCTTTCTTTTCTATAGTTTACACAACTTATCTTTTTTTGTGTTTCCTTTTCTCCTTTGCCCAACTCTATGGTCTGTAGTCACCTGCTGTGATTATGCTGAACTGAGTTTTTAACATTGGTTTTAAAATGGCTATATGCTTGTTGTTTCTATTTTAATATTTTTAATGTTTTGGTTGCTTGCTTTTAATTGTTGCAAACTATCCAGAGTCACATATGTGAGAAGAACAAATCAAATAAATAAAAACTTATCAACTGTCTCTCTCTTCTGGTAACCTCCATACTCTTTAGTTTTCTGAATCCTTTTCTTGTAAGCAAAACAAAAAAAATCCAATTAAGTTTTACTAGCATTAATAGAATGCATATAAACCTACTATGTCAATCAATATGAAGAATCTTTAAATTATGGGAGCCTCCATCTTTAATCTGTACAGCCGTGACATACAATTACCACTTCATCTGATAGGTTCCAGAGAAAGAGATGTCAAAAGCTTTTTATATGTATGACAGAAGAAGCTGGACTCTTTTTATAACTACAAGAAAATATACCCTATGTGTAAAAAAATGGTAATTGCCCTTTTTGAAAAGCCTTCTGGCAATTATTCTCTAGCTTTTATTACTGAGGCATATATGACTGACCTCCGAGGTATGCAAAACATTATATCATCCATCATTCCCGTTTCAAAACAGATACGCAGAGTACTGTAATTTGGAGCTAACAAAATACTTTCCTTGGAAAAGAGAAGATATGGCAATTAATGCTCTGAAATTACTGTGATGGATAAAGATGAAAAGGCCTTCAGATGGCTCAGTGTTTACAACAGGCAGGAAAAATGAACGTTCTCTTCCATACTGCTTCTTCTGTGAATCTCATCACAAAAATCCTTTTTTGATTTATTCTGTGAGTCCAGATTCTCTTCCATACTGCTTCTTCTGTGAATCTCATCACAAAAATCCTTTTTTGATTTATTTTGTGAGTCCAGATAACAGAGGGAGATTTTCTGAAGCCATTCTCCAAAGCCTATTCTTCAGCCAACTTTCATCTGGTAATTTATCTATCTTTTAAACATGGAAGAGTTTTCAGTCTCATGAAAGAAAAGGAGTATCCAGAAATTTTAAAAATAGCCTTCAGCAGAATCCAGACATATAGCCTGGATTCCAGGAGGGAGGGGCTGCCTTCCTGAAGGCAAAGAGGCAGAGTTGGCAGAAAGAGGGTTAAAACAGTTCCTCTCTAGCTCTTCCCAGAGTATATCCCTAGTTATGCAGAGTTGCCTTAGTCTGGCAAAATTCTGTCTATAGGTGAAGAACAATAAAGGAAACTATTCTAAAATAAGTCCATGTGTCATTTATGGTTCTTGGAGCCTATGAAAAAACCAGGCAAGTTTCTCTCAGTTATTAGCAAATCCCTCAGCATCAGTGAAGAAATATGCAGTCAAGGGGAACCGAAGTGAGAACTCTTGAGATGCTGAGGAATGACATTACTGAGACAGAAGAATGGCCTCTTCCAGGCTTAGACAACAGCTGCTGAAGGAAACTAGCTTGATACAAGTAAGAGACAGTGGAAAAATGACCTTGAGACATATAAAGTGTAAAGCAAAGATAGGAAAGCCTTAAATATAAGGCTTAACCTGTAAACCAAATTTCCTTCTCAGATAATGTGAGAAAGACCAGGAGACACAAGGGCTCAGTGTGAACAGAATAATTGCCATCCTTTGAAATCACAGTCTCTGCCCATTCATTATAAGACAACTGTCTTAGCAATTTTGAGCCCAAAATGGTACAGCAGTTCAACTATGGCAGAGACAGACGACAGACTTCTTTTTTATAACCACATTGTGAAGATCTTCATAGGTTCCTTGTGTGGGAGAGAGTCTGTGGTTTCTGTGGTCTGACTGCTGTATGTTTAAGGACACCAGGCAGAATTTGCCAGGCCAGCTATTGTTCTACCAGTCTACCTGTAGAAAACAAGCTTGCTGGGTGTGGATATGAAGAGTCATAGTGAATTGACTCCAGAACTACTGGATACCATCCTATCCTTTTTGGAAAACCACAAACAGTGGCTCCTCTGCCTGATGCTTAAGCCTCCCCATAGCAATGACAAAATGAAGGAAAGCATAACCATACTGTTTCAATATGGTTAATATTTATGTAGCCCATTCTTCTGGCATTTTAGAATATGAACCAAGTGTTAACAGCAAACTGAAACTTTTGGTATTTTGACCTTTGAGTACATTCTCATCTAGGCATGATTAATAATTGTTAAGCACCTAACAAAGCTGGGATAGGCCTGACCAGCAGGCATACAATCTATAATGACAAAAGGTGAAGAAAACAAATAGAAGCAGTATATGCTAGTAATAGAGAAAAATCCAAGTGTAATGGAAATGGCTTGGTAACTTGAGAAATCTTAGGTCCAAATTGCCTCAGTGATCTAGCAGTTCAAGTTTAGCCAAAAATAGGCTCACCTGGAAATTAATGAAGAGTCAGAAAGACTGCAGAAAATAGATCTATTCTTTAAAGGGCTTTATTTTGTGCAATCGTCAAGAGCTCTTAAATGAGCAAGACACTTTAAAGAAGATACAAAGAAGATGAGTTTACACAACTGATTTATCTTCTCTTTATATGAAAGGCTTTGATGCTACAAACAAAATTGGGGAGGGAAAATATCAATGAAGGAAAGTATTCTAAACAGAGAAGAACAAATCTGGAAAATAAGCAGGTTCAGTAGTTAATCCTGGCTAGGGATTTTGATTGCATAGTTAGTGGGATTAAGGCAATTGCAAAATAGGCAGTGGCTTGTTAGGGCTTGCCAACCAAAGACTGAATGTTTGCGGATGAAGGACAAAGCACCAAGGAAGGATCCTACAAAGACTACAGAGTTATAAGATGGAAGGGACATCAAAGGTCTTCTAATCCAACCCCCACTCAAGACAGGAGTCTTAATTCCATCCTGGTCAAATGGTTGTCCATTTGAAAATCTCCAGTGATGGAGCATCCACAACTCTGGAAGGCAAGCTATTCCATTAATTGTTCTCACTGTCATAAAATTTCTCCTTACTCCTATGTTGTATCTCTCTTTAACAAGCTTCTACCCATTACTTCTTGTCCTGCCCTCTGGTGCTCTGGGGAATAAGTCAATCTCCCCTTCTCTGTGGCGGTCCCTCAAGTACAAGAGATACAACTCAATCCCCCTACTCTAAATAAGTTGCTTCAAGAAATCCCTAGATCATTTTGCTCTTTACTAACTTACATATTCTGAGATAGAGAACTGGTTTTCTTCCAAAGACAGAAAATGGCCAGATACATAGCCAATTTGTTTATCTGCAGTTGAGGAAGAATTTCAAGGCAGATACTCCAGACTGCCCCTCTCAGTAGACTGACCCTCATTCAAGAAAACCCTACTTTTAATCTCATAACCATAAACATTATTTTAGGTTGATAATGCAAAACCTCTGCCCAGTCATACCACTATAAGTACACTACACCAGCAATAGCCACATCCTTATTTTATGTCAAATAGCATCTCCAATATTATATTAATTGCCTTGATACTCATTCAATTAAGTTCTTCCACCCATTCTTAGGATAGTGTAGGCCAGTGGTGGCAAACCTATGGCATGCATGCCAGAGGCAGCACTCGGAGCCCTCTCTGTGGGCACACGTGCCGTTGCCCCAGCCTCACCTCCCCCCGCAACCCCCTCCTCACCAGCAGTCCCCCTGGAGGAGAGTCGCGCCCGAGGGTGGCCCACGCGGAGCAGCGCAACCAGAGACATGGCAGCCAGGCAGCGTAGACAAGACTCTGCCCTCACGCCCCATCATGCACAGTTGATGCTGTGGGGTGCGGGCAGAGGGTGTGGCTGCCATGGTGCTGCTGGGCTGCCTGGGCGATCTGCGAACCCTGGGGGCAATGAGTGGCCCTGCGGGCAGGCGGGGCAGGAGATGGGGTGGGGGCAGAGTGGGGAGGGGCAGGGGGTGAAGCGGGGGTGGGGCCAGTTTTTGGGCACTCGGTCTCTAAAAGGTTTGCCATCACTGGTGTAGGCCAAAAAACAGAACTTTAATTAGAGACAAGCTGCAAGAACACTCTGCATAAAACTTTTTATTTACACTGAATATGTCAACAAACTAGGACATATGACATTGGTTGGCTTCCTCTTGAAAAACCTCTATCATTTGCTGACTTAGATAAGAATCAGAGATTCACTCTCACAATTGCTCTCTGACCAGGAAGCATCATCTCGCAAACTCCAAATCACATATAAAGGGGATAGTAACTCATTGAGGAGGATATCAAAGCTCCCTCTTGTTTGTCAAAATTAGACTAGAAGTCTAGCCACCAAATCAAAATTTGGCTCAGCTATATCTCAAAATTTGCAAGGTTCTAGGCATTCCATATCAGATGCAGTAATTCCAGGCTGATTGCTGGAAGTACTAATAATGAAATTAAAGGTTAAATATTTTGGATACACAATCTGAAGTTTGGAGTTAGGGGAGAAGATCATCATTCCAGAAAAAAGAAAGATAATTGTCAGAGATAAGTAGTTAGATCATATCATTGATGATACAAACATGAGCTTACAAGTATTCAAAGAAGCAATTACTAACGGGCAATTCTAACAAACTGAAGTTGATCTAGTCACAAAGAGTCACACTTGACTGAACACAAACATCATAGAGCAGGGGTGTCAAACTCGCAACATCACGTGACATCGTGATGTATCATGACTTTTTTGCCATTGCCGGCAATGGGGTGGGCACGGTTTCGCTATGATGCATCCGGCCCATGGGCCAGCAGTTTGACAACCCTGTCATAGAGCTTCTCCTCTTTAGAGTTTGAAAACACTTGCTGGCCAGTGAAACCTGAATCTCAATCTCCTTCTTCCCCATAGGTTCACTGGATGACCTTGGTTTACTGTATATCCTTCTCTAAAATTAAATTACTTTAGAGATAGTGCAAGAAATATATGTCAAAAGTCTTCAAGGAGGTTCAGAGCACTTTGGACAAAAACCTTCTAATAACTTTAGGAGCAGGCTGTGACCTTAGCAAATGTGGCAATCTCCTTCTGTGCTCATCTCAAAAGAAATTACACCTGTTGACATAATTACAGGGACAAATGGGTTACAGATCTTGCAGAGATAATCAGAATGTTTAATGGCAAGTGTATTTTATATGTGTCTTAGGAAAAGTCTGGCATACCAACAGTCTCATCCCATGCGCAATCAGCCAGAAAAGGCAGATTATCCATAGCATGGGGATGACATATGTTCTGTAGCCTCAGGGGATCTAGGCCAGGGCTTTTCAACCAGTGGTACGGGTACCACCTGTGATACATTGGCACCTGGCAGGTGGTACGCAACCATCCTAGAAAAGTGGTAGCGGGGGAGGGGAATGAGCTGAACCGGTGGCACCGCACAAGCCTGAGCGAGAGATGGCTGGAGCTGCAGGGCTGTCAGGGCTCAGCGGAAGCACCAGGATTAGCGCCAGGTTCCAGCTGGAACTTGGCGCTGATCCTGGTGCTTCTGCTGAGCCCTGAAGAAGCACCAATCAGCTGGAATGTTGCAGCATCTCCAGGGTCTTGTGATTTACATTCAGATGCTTGGCAACTGATTCATATTTATGACGGTCACAGTGTCCCAGGGTCATGTGAAGTGACCAAAACCTGCTGCAACCACCCAGCAGCCAGGGGGAATAAAAACCAAACACCCCCCCACCCCACCCCCGCTGCCAATCCTCAACAGAAATGCTCACAACAATGAAAACCTCGGACAGGAGAAAGAGCGCCACCGGGTGGGCAGGCAGGTGTCTTGCTCGGCTGTGGCTCGGGGGGCACTTTTTTCAGTGCCATTGTAACTTCGAACAGTCACTAAGCGAACTGTTGTAAGTCGAGGACTACCTGTACTTCATCACTTTTTTCCTTTTTTTGGTCATCAAGTTTTTGACACCTTGCTAGGCGACTGGTGGTACTCGGATGTTGCCATATCCTAAAAGTGGTACAATGGGTGAAAAGGTTGAAAAGCCCTGATCTAGGCAATTGCATAGATTCTCACTTAGGGTCCACAATATCTTCAGCAGACTTGTTCCCCAATTTTGCCTGTCATCTGGATGGAATTCCCAACCTCACCTCCCCATGGCTCTAACCTGTGCCAGGAAGCAGAAGGTAGGGAGGGATTTACCTAGATTCCCTGCTCGTGAGAAACGATCAGAGGAAAACAACCCTAAACACGTGTAGCATCTTTGCCTACAATCAGGGAAGCGGCGGGGAAAGCTTTTTGCTCTAACACTAGAAAAACAGCTTCTGCCCGGGTAGGCGCTCCTCCTACCTATCACAAGGTCAGCGATGGATGAGAAGTAACCGCAGCTTTCCTCTCCGCAGCTCCGCGCTGTACCCACGTGCAGCTCTGCCGCCGCCGACACTTCGGGTCTCACCGCGGGGTTGACATTCCCAAGGACAAGCACCGCCCATTTCGCGCATCGGGATGACATCAAGCCGCTCATGCCGCCTACCGCCATATTAATACCTGGCACTGGCTGCGTTCCTACGGCAGGCACGCCGAGCCACAAATTAGCCTCATAGGGTTCAGTGCTGTTGCTTTATAATTGCATGAACCGTGTACATTCAGAGATTGTATTAATTCCTAAACTATTACGTTAACCATGGACAAATGTACCGTGAAACGCAGCCAAACAAACACAGCTTGCTTAACCTGTTTGCTAAATGAGGTCATTTTTTACATAAGCAAAATACACTGAAAAGCCAACGAATCAAATGAGAGGAGTTTGCGATACACACTAAGCCACAACCAAGTTTTAACAGTAACCATTTAAGAGACCTGATTCAGCACATTGCGCAAACCTTAACAACGTCTTTCAGCTCAACAGGTTCTGAAGGTGAGGCAGGGATTTTCTCAGCCAAGTACAGTGAAATACCTCAGCAGGCATATACTCCACCTCTCAAATTACAAAACGTTCAGGTTAGTAACCTTCCATAGCAGTGAGCAATGAGATATTGCTCAGTGAGATATCTAGATTTGCTAATTCACATTACTGAACCATGTCAGATTTCCAGAAACAGCTGGAAACTAAGTACCATTGGTCCACTCATTATCTAGACCAGTGTTTCTCAAACTTAGCAATTTTATGATTTGTGGAATTCCACTAGCTAGGCTATGAAACCACTACGAACATTAAGTTATCCTTTTTTTCCATAGAAATTGATCATTGCTTTTCAGTTCTGCGAAGAGATGGGCTGCACTTGGGGAGACAGTTTTTTAATAACTTCATTCCCTAAAATGTATTCCCTTGCCTCATTCTGGACATGATGATGGCTTTGGGTCTTCATACAGAGTATTCAAGCTCATGGCATCTAATAGAGGTCCTTGTGAAACTTAATGTTTGACTTTCACTTTCTTCCTGCATATATATACAAAAGAATAGGTACCTTGCTAATACAGCTAAAGAGACTGCTAAATTTAACTGATATTACAACTAATTGCTGAATGTTAAATGGACTAGTGTGGCTTGTGAAAACTGATAGTCATCTGTTTTTCCTACTCATTTAAACAGGCAAGAAGTTTAGCAGCACCTCACCCAAAATGCAGCCTGTTTTATTCCAAGTAATGCAAAAAAAGAATCTCTTCCCCAGAACTGTCCATTCTAATAGTTTAAAAATACATTGTTGACCCTAAAAACAGAATTGGAGTTCATTAGCACTGTAGAACCTCACTATTAATAAGGAATTACAATCTTCTTAAGGCCTTTTACATTGTTAGAAAGTTGGAAATAAAATCTGGTCTTGGGCTGCACTCTTAATGATTGAGTCTGTAAGAGGTCACAACCAGGGAAATATGGAAGAAGGTGGTTCCTTAATTCCAAATAGGAATAACAACAAGTGGAGTTAACAGAAAATTCAAAAGCTGATTGAAAGCTAGTTTCATCTAAGAGGGCTTGATATAGTTCTCTCATCCTCAACTGTGGTGGTTCTGAATCCATTTTTGGACTATCTTTTTTAAAGGGCAACATAAAATTGAGATGGTGACATACAGTTATCTTTTGCAATGATAGTTAGGTTATTAGTTATCATAACTATTTCTATTAAACTGAAGATATGCTGAATTTAGATCAAGGGGACACCAGAACTGATTAAATGCCATACCAAAGTGGATGGATTGTGCCAATACATTTATTAAGAACAATGTTGATACTGCTGGAATGTTCTTAGAAACATATTGTGGTTAGGTTAGACATTTTTAGTCTAGATTAGCATGAAGTTGGGTAGGTTGTAGTTTGCAGTGTTGTGGGAACCTAGCCATTGTCTTAGACATATGAACTAAGCCAGTGATGGCAAACCTTTTAGAGACTGAGTGCCCAAACTGCAATCCAAACCCACTTATGTATTGTCGGGTGCCGGGTAGGCGTGTCCCATTGGGTGAGTGTGGCCCATTGGGTGGGTGTGGCCCATTGGGTGGGCGTGGCTTCGGTGGTAACGGCAGATTGGGTGGGACTAAAGAGTTCAATCAATCAACTCCAACTTTTCGAGATATTTTTTTTCTGCTAGAAGTTGAAATTGATTGATTGAACCTTTGGGTTTTTTTGCACATGGTAGCGGAGGCCTAAAGCGAAAAGGTTTTATAAAACCCAGCTGAAGGCCTAGGACTGGGGTGACAGTGCATGTGCCCAGAGAGGGCTCTGCATGCCACCTGTGGCACGCATGCCATAGGTTCGCCACCACGGAACTAAGCTATCGTATTGAGCTATAATAAAATTAAGATTTATTTAGCTTTTTTATCACTTTAGGTTTTTTCATTTATACATTTTCTCTAAAATAGTTAATAAAATATATTATTTGAAAAATAAAGCATTTTAGGTGGCTATCTTTAACATATTTTCATATCTTTAATATATTTTCACCTCTGAATTGCTTTGTGAAGTAAGTCAGAAACTGTTTTTGCATTTTTCAGATCCAGTGGTGGCTGATTTAACAACTCTTTCCTCCATGTTGCGATCCTGAAGATGAATGTAAAAATCATCTACTTGAACTGCAGCCCAAAGTTTGTTGAATCTTTTAAAACTAAGATTTTTCATTCATTTTTCAGTGTCAACTTGTAAATCATTTTTTATCTTTGTTGTGGCAAATTTCTATAGGATCAAATGTACTGCTGAATTTCAACCTAGGTACCCTTGCAAGTAGAAGTGGTGGCAATTTCTTAGACCTCAAATGCCACAAGAGCAAGTAGACGGCTTCACATAGTAAAGAAAAGAAGCATGAGATACCAATTAACATTATTATTCAAAAATTTGCTGTGATCACTGAGTTGAAATGGTGAATTGATGTCAGATGCACTTTGGTCTGGACTTAGTGTTCTCTTTTTCAAGGAATCATCCTGGGGAATTTGGAAAATATATTGGTGCAATTTTGTATCTTTAACAGTTTATTATACAGACATTCAAGGTTAAAGTGATAAAATGCAGTGGTTTATAAGAGAGGGAGACATTCTTGGGAAAATGATTATCAGTCCACTAGTATATCTCTGAAAACAAAAAACAGCCTGATTAAACCTTGTACGTTAAAATTGAATTTTGACTTCAGTGAATAAGAACGGTTTGTTGTTCTAATCAAGCTTAATTTAACCATGATGTATTGAATAAATCTAAAGCTAAGTGCACATAAAATACTAAGCTATAAACTGTTATTTACAAGTCACAAAGACTGAGTTTATATAATTTACTGAGCCTAAACCAAAAAAGATCCATTATGTTTTAACAGATTCTATGAGTAAGTGCTGTGCTAATTATTTTATGCTTTATGCTTTATTCACATACTTTCCAAGGAGATAAAATTATGATCTTCTTGGAAATAAAATATATGGTTTACTTTATGCATTTAACCTCATGTCTCAAATATGACACGCAAGTTTGCTAAACATTTTTTGTATAACACTCTACACACATAAGAGCTTGAAGTCTCTATTCAGAAGGTTTTAAAGAGGGATTACATGAATGTCCTTCAGATTCATAAATAGCAACCAGCTGTATGGAGGAGGGGGAATCGTAAAATCCATATCTATGTAATATTAAAAGCAACCCATTTTTTTCCAAAAGGATATGAAAGTTCTTCAAAGCAATTCATCAGAAAATGTTAATTAATAGGCATGTGAAGAAGCAAGAAAGCCAAAAAATATGAGCCAGATGTTCAAGACCTAGAGTCTGCAATTCAAAGACAGTCATGAAAGTAAAGATTATAGATAGAATGCAGAGGTATTGTTTGATTATACTGGTAGCAGAGTACAGTCAGAATTCAAGAATGGAAATATTGTTTCCTAGAATGATGAAAGCACAAAATAAAGGCTATTTCATGTCAGGGTGCACAGACAAAATGTTGGGAGAAAGTAAATAAAACTCTCCTAAGCCCCTTTACAAACCGTTCATAAACTGAACAGACCTAAGCCAAGTCTGATGTGGTAGCCCTGCATTAACCATTAAGCAAAATAAGCAAATGCTTGGGGCACCAAGGGAAGGGGAGCACAGAGCTGTTTGTTTCCCCCATAAACTGGAATAAAACTGAATTTTTAATCTCTTATTTCACCTTCAGCACTTATTGAGTGGATCTTAATGTCTTGAGTTAACCAATGGAAGGGCCAAAGGACACCATTGTTCTGCTTAGGGCTTCAGGTGGCCAACAAAAAAAAGAAGTTTGGGAGAAACAAATTAAAATAAGGACTGTAACAGGATCTATGATAAGGCAACCAGAATGATTGGATAGAAAAGAAATATTATATTGATGTGATTATTATTTTTAGGACTATTGGGAAAAATTATATATTTAATTGTTATCTATCAAAACAATAAGAATTGTATTAACTCAATGTTTGCAAAAGAGGATATTTGGGAAAAGAGGAAATCAACTAAAACTATTATGTAGATTATGGATTATAGAAATCAATTGTTAGTGATTGTTTTACAAATGTAACCCAGACAACACACTGTTAACCAATGATTAAGTGATTTATGTTTTTTAAAAAATCAGTACAATATATTACAAAAAGAAAAAAGAAAGAAATTCAAAAAAATGGGCTGGATAAGAGAAAAATGCAGACCATGATCATGGGACTTGGACAAAGGCTTGAAAGGCTGTTCCTCCTCCATTTTAAGTCATCTTCTTTCTGGTTAGTGGCACAGATTGGAACATAATTTGCCTGTTCTCAATATACCCAAAGATGCAACTTCTTACATTGTTGCACAAAGGAAAATACAGAAACATTCTATAGCCACTGCTACCAGTAGGTAAAACTCTCTATGCTCTACTTACTTTCCCTCAGTTCGCTTTTATGTTTTCCAACCAAACAGAATATAGCAAAGAAATTGTAAAAAGAGGCTCAGAGCTCTATCTCTGTCAATAGGAAAACTCTCCAAAACTGAAAAGAAAGAGATCAAATGTGGTTTGAGAGACACTGTAACAAGAGAAAGATAAAGTTGGAAAATAGACTTGGGTAAGACCAGAGGCTACAGAGAAGATCCAAGGGGAAAAAAACCCCAAGGAGAGGCAACTGATAGTGGCTCAAGACCAAAGCATATTGCAGCCTGTTCTGCAATATTCATATACAGCCTCCACAACAAACAGATACTATACAAGGGAAGAGCCGAAACACCCAGCTAACATGCAATTAGATCTTCAGAGTCACACAGTCTCTTAATTCTTGTGAGGAAAGTGGTGTACTACACATTATCTCTTTCCCCCCCTCTCTCGTACACACACATAAACATGTAAGTTTGTTAATGTAGAAGAAAATAAAAGTACAGTACTTTCTTTGGCCACTGCTGGTACAAGGGGTTGGAAATAATCCCCGAAGCCCTATTCCTACTGTTTTCCCCATGTGTTTTTATATACAGTATTAATTTACTTTGTGCGATCAAGTTGTTTCCCACTCCTAGAACCACATAGATTTTCCCCACATGGGTATATAAATATATAAATAAAAATGTAAATATAAATAAAATAGCCAATTACATTCTTTCTAGAACTCATAAGTTTATACGTTCCAATAAAATAATCTAATAACCAAAGACGAATATTCCAGCTATGGATTTTTTTCGAAATTCATAAAGAGTATCGTCATTATGCCGCTTTTTTATTCTCTCACGGGAGAGAACATGATTTTCATTTTTATTTTTATGCAGATTCACGTGACTGTAAGTTTGCGATCATGTGACGCATCATGGCTGCGCCCAGCTGGCTCTGGGTTCCACAGCTCTTCCTGTATTTGGTGTTCCCCTCGTCCGCCGCGCTCCTGGTAGAAACGTTAGAGCAGGTAAGGGGGAGGAGGCTTGTCCTGGGAACTCCGGGAGGGGGAGATATATGAGGGGTCTTTCATAGTTTCCGTCTGCCTTGTCCTTGC